CTGAGATTCAATGCTAGACCTATCAAACCTAGCGGGATCCTTACAACTTCTTCAGGTCCCACGCTAGATACATCTGAGACCTCATTCTCACGTCCCGGTCAACAGCACGCGTCATCTGCACCGTCTACGGACGTGACGACAGTCTCACGTCCAGATCAGCAGACCACGCCGCCTCTGACCTCGGATGAGATTGCAGGCTCACGAGATACGAACGAGACTGCTGTCTCACGTTCCGGTCGCCGAGTACGGTTACCCGTACGCTTCCGCGACTAATCGCACAGTGAGCAACCGATACGGTGTAGGGTTATTCCTATACTACACGCATACTACACTCTTCTCTTTTTTGATTTTCTTTTTGTTTCCTGAGCCCACGCCTTCGACCATCTCCGTTCGGTTCCGTCGACTTCAGTCAACTTTGGCGAAAGCTGGCCTGATCACCCATGCTCTTGTCAACGCACTCAGTCGATATATTGGTTTCGAATGCTTGGCATACGCTTGGTCTCGAACTTGGTCGTTATGGTCGCTTCTGGTCTTTTGGCTCAACGTGGTTTCGTCCTTCGTCTGCAGCGTTTATGGTCCGGACCCGTACGAACGCCCTCTTCAGATTCTGGATACAAACCACTCTCGTGTAGCATGCCAACTCAAGCAATACATACAGCACATCGCTCCTGGTACCGTTCTCCGAAAACGAACTTCGTTGGCAACTCGACGATCAACGATCGTTTTCCTGTTCGCCAATCTTTCCGTCCTACAATCGCCCGTCAGCCGATCAGTCCCACGATTTAAACCGCTATTTATCGAAAGTGTAAACCCTTTCTAGCGGGGGGCTTCTGTAGTGACTTACATTTATCACGAGAACACGACTGGTTTAATAAAAACAATTATTATTATAACCAAGTGTACCAGTGACTGTTTTAATGTGCTTTTGTTTGACTGTGCTAATGACAGCTATATTCTGCTTCCATTCTTGTACGTACACTTTGATTGTAACTTCGCGCGAATTCGGTTACGTTCTGTAACCAAGCTTGTATCCTGGCACGATCTCGGTATCCTTTCGATGCCACGAGATCGCCAGCAAATAAACCTCGACTTGGTCCATTAATTGCCTTCTGGTATTTGGCTTCTCGGAGATTTTATGGGTTTCTTTGGTTACGTTCAACCCTCGCCTTCTGATTTATTTGGCACGTGTTTCTTGGTAGCGGTGTTCATAGTTAATCTCAACTCGACGCCACGCTACAGTGTCATCGCATAAAGTGGTCAATTGTCTTTACCTTTGCTACATCGCCCATGTGGTTTGAGCTGAGGTCTCAGCGCTCTGTGGTCATAAACCCGGGGTCACGCTCCGAGGAGACAATGAGGAGCGGATTTTCATGGATGGTGTAAGTACTACACGTCAATGGGGCAGAATGTGCACATTGCACTTCTACAGCTTAAGCTTTATCCTATGGTTTACTGCTCACTACTCTATTATAGTAAGGTCCTTTTGAAGCTCAAGTGGATGCTTTTTGCTTTTTATGGACATACGGATCTTTACATCATATTCACAGATCAGCACCGACAAGCAAATGTTATCCAACAGGTCGGTAATAAAGATTGTGAACAGAAGTAAACATAAAACATTCGCATCTCTTCGCCTGTGCAAGCTGGAGCCTGCTTGAATATATGGGCCAGCTGTTCCTACCACTGACATATTTCAACAAGTTTTCTTTCTTGTTAAGTCTAATACATTAATATGTCTAATTATTGCATAACCCATTGAAGCGTGTATGCTTAATGTTAACGATCTATCGCTTTATAAAATATAAAAATGTACAATTAGTGACATAATGGTGGATGGAAATGTGCATGGAAACGGATAAGAATAGTATTAATATAATAGACTCACACGTATGTGTACCGAACCCTTGTCACTTTTTATTCGCGTGATGATGAATTCCACGCTTTCGAGAAATGTTACCCTATTAACGATTCTCCTCGCTGACCCGGCTGCTTGGTACGGAATGCATACGCATAAGCATATCCGTCTACCACCCAGCACCAAATGGTTAAGTTGAACGGTTTCACTGCCCACTTAAAAGTGTTCTACGAGCACACGAAAACGGCAACTGGCACGAAACCTTACCGCTCGTTCTTTTAGGGGTGAGAACGAGCTTAAAGGCAGATATCCAATGTTCCGCCACTGAACTTGTATACGGCACGACATTGCGTCTGCCCGGAGAATTCTTCACACCACGGAGCAGACCTAATTTCGGTAAATCAGACTACGTCCATCGACTGTCTGCATTTATGTCAACGCTGTCTCCGGTGTCAACTCGAATACAACATCGACAGGTCGCTCTCCCTCAAGAGTTATCTACCTGTTCACATGTTTTCATACGAGTAGATTCGGTACGCAAACCTTGGCAACAACCTTACGAAGGCCATTTTCACGTGATCGCTGGTCACGAAAAGACCTCCAAGGTTGATCGATATGGCCGCGTCGAGATCGTCAGCATTGATCGTCTCAAACCAGCACACGTCGATGACAGTGCCCTATCTGATACCCTGAGATTCAATGCTAGACCTATCAAACCTAGCGGGATCCTTACAACTTCTTCAGGTCCCACGCTAGATACATCTGAGACCTCATTCTCACGTCCCGGTCAACAGCACGCGTCATCTGCACCGTCTACGGACGAGACGACAGTCTCACGTCCAGATCAGCAGACCACGCCGCCTCTGACCTCGGATGAGATTGCAGGCTCACGAGATACGAACGAGACTGCTGTCTCACGTTCCGGTCGCCAAGTACAGTTACCCGAACGCTTCCGCGACTAATCGCACAGTGAACAACCGATACAGTGTAGGGTTATTCCTATACTACACACATGCTACACTCTTCTTTTTTGATTTTCTTTTTGTTTCCTGAGCCCACGCCTTCGACCATCTCCGTTCGGTTCCGTCGACTTCAGTCAACTTTGGCGAAAGCTGGCCTGATCACCCATGCTCTTGTCAACGCACTCAGTCGATATATTGGTTTCGAATGCTTGGCATACGCTTGGTCTCGAACTTGGTCGTTATGGTCGCTTCTGGTCTTTTGGCTCAACGTGGTTTCGTCCTTCGTCTGCAGCGTTTATGGTCCGGACCCGTACGAACGCCCTCTTCAGATTCTGGATACAAACCACTCTCGTGTAGCATGCCAACTCAAGCAATACATACAGCACATCGCTCCTGGTACCGTTCTCCGAAAACGAACTTCGTTGGCAACTCGACGATCAACGATCGTTTTCCTGTTCGCCAATCTTTCCGTCCTACAATCGCCCGTCAGCCGATCAGTCCCACGATTTAAACCGCTATTTATCGAAAGTGTAAACCCTTTCTAGCGGGGGGCTTCTGTAGTGACTTACATTTATCACGAGAACACGACTGGTTTAATAAAAACAATTATTATTATAACCAAGTGTACCAGTGACTGTTTTAATGTGCTTTTGTTTGACTGTGCTAATGACAGCTATATTCTGCTTCCATTCTTGTACGTACACTTTGATTGTAACTTCGCGCGAATTCGGTTACGTTCTGTAACCAAGCTTGTATCCTGGCACGATCTCGGTATCCTTTCGATGCCACGAGATCGCCAGCAAATAAACCTCGACTTGGTCCATTAATTGCCTTCTGGTATTTGGCTTCTCGGAGATTTTATGGGTTTCTTTGGTTACGTTCAACCCTCGCCTTCTGATTTATTTGGCACGTGTTTCTTGGTAGCGGTGTTCATAGTTAATCTCAACTCGACGCCACGCTACAGTGTCATCGCATAAAGTGGTCAATTGTCTTTACCTTTGCTACATCGCCCATGTGGTTTGAGCTGAGGTCTCAGCGCTCTGTGGTCATAAACCCGGGGTCACGCTCCGAGGAGACAATGAGGAGCGGATTTTCATGGATGGTGTAAGTACTACACGTCAATGGGGCAGAATGTGCACATTGCACTTCTACAGCTTAAGCTTTATCCTATGGTTTACTGCTCACTACTCTATTATAGTAAGGTCCTTTTGAAGCTCAAGTGGATGCTTTTTGCTTTTTATGGACATACGGATCTTTACATCATATTCACAGATCAGCACCGACAAGCAAATGTTATCCAACAGGTCGGTAATAAAGATTGTGAACAGAAGTAAACATAAAACATTCGCATCTCTTCGCCTGTGCAAGCTGGAGCCTGCTTGAATATATGGGCCAGCTGTTCCTACCACTGACATATTTCAACAAGTTTTCTTTCTTGTTAAGTCTAATACATTAATATGTCTAATTATTGCATAACCCATTGAAGCGTGTATGCTTAATGTTAACGATCTATCGCTTTATAAAATATAAAAATGTACAATTAGTGACATAATGGTGGATGGAAATGTGCATGGAAACGGATAAACATAAATCAAATGTCGATTCCCGAACTGCAAATTTTCAACTGCCGACAACTAATTGGAAAGTGTACTGTCTTCGATTCCCACTAAATTAAAAATTGCATCATAACTCAAAAATCTGGGTTGACTGAATTACATGACGATTGTTTAGCATCACTGAATGGCTTTAACATTTATCTTCATCATAGACCAAACAATGGGAAAACGTGTGGTTGCGGCGGAGCTGCATTTATAAATATGAACCAATGTTGACCTAATTCTTGGGTTTCCAAACGAGCTTGTCGGATTTCTAACTTTTATTTGCCGTCTAGAAGACCAGGACAAATAAAATTATATTTATGTTACCAAAATTTACGTGACTTCAGACTACGTGTCATGTACGTTATCTGTTTTCAAATGAATACATTGGATTAGTCATTACTGATTTTAATGATTCCCCTTCAACTACATGGTGAGATTTTAATTCATGTGACCATAGCTTTCTTTCATTGCTTAGTCACTAAAATATGGTAGATTTGCAAGTCGTTTTGATACGCATTTAGACTTAGTTTTCATTATTGGTGTGGTAATATATGTTATTCGTAAACATGCTTCATTTTCTAGTTCTGATCATCATCTTATCCCCCATTATTCTCCCGGGCTTTTGACGAAAGATTCTTCAGTGTTGCTGAGAGTAATGAAAGCGTTGAGTAAGCTATCTTGTGAATTTATTGAGGTCATTTTGAATATGATTGTGAATAGAGATTTAAAATCTTATAAATTCCTGTCAAGCGTTGTTCGTAAGATACAAACCATCCATTCCATCCACATCTTTTTGTTTGTATATTATCCAGTAGAACGAGACGCTAATAAATTAGAAATCATGCGTGCAAACAAAAGTACTGAGACTCTACAATACTTAATCTGGCAAATATACTGTGTACCGAACAGGTTGTACGACCTGGTTTAGTCAAAAACGTGTATTCTTAAATATGCTGCTAATTAAAAGTTGTACATATTCTTATCTTCTCAAAAGCATTACATTTAATTGTAGATGGTCTATTTGCTTATTTCATGTATATATGTGAACAGTTATCGATCGATTATTTCGTGAGAAAAATCTGTTAAATTAAGAGCCCTGAGAAATCTGTATTGCATTAAATAATTAATATTGAATAAACCCATTGTTATTATAGACAGATGTCTCTGAGAAAATTGAGCCACAGGCCACATGCCGGTGTACTGATGGGTTCTGCACATTGCTTCAGGGCTACATGTTGGATGTGATCACACCGCGGTGACCTTTTTGAGCGTAGGGATTTTAGTCTTTGTGATATCAGTGAGGCATTTAGTTGGGTATCGCCCAGATTTTTAACTGGTACTACATTTGAGGGGTTTTTCGTGATTACAGGTACCTGGTTTAGTCCATCTGTTAAGGTCGCAACAATGATCTCTGACACGCCCGAGCTAGCGAAATCTTTGCAACTTTGCCCTTTAAAAGGAACAGATCCCCTTTGATTTAGGCTTCCTTCTAGTCATAAATCTGTAGAGGTAATTGAGGCTTGCTTTCATTTTGGCGTTTAGCCTGGTTATAAATAATCTCCTATCGCTTCGAACTTTGACATTGCATCTGTTTCTCAGTGTCAAGTAATAACCATAATCCAGACAATTTGGGAAGACTTTTCACTTGCCCCCATGCTCTCTGTCTGGCATGTAGTAGACATCCAATGACTCCTAACTAGGGACCCTTGCTTTTGGAGAGTGTGTCTATATGGGGAAAATAGTTTGGATCACATTCTGAATGATACCTTCCACCATATTCAAGTGTCCATCACCTGTTAGCCCCCAATACTCTCGTGACGATGGCGTATGTTGAACATGCTCTCTCATCATCATTGTAGTGTACTGTAGTTCATCTAAGGTAAGGCGCATTCTAGTTCCTCCGAAGTATCTCGTTTGTGACCACGTTCAACATGGCTGTACCATGGTTGCTATTTCCTACATGTATACGGTTGTGGACATCCTCAACTATAAGAATATCATCTGCCAGTAAATGATCCAAGCCTGATGGTTTTCAGTCCTTGTACCGTCTCTCAGTGATACCCACTTGTTCAGTCAGTTCTGAGCATCCAATGGCTGCTGCATGAGAATGATGAAACCACTCTGTAGTTGTTGTGTCCTGTGTACTGAGATTAAAGGATGGAGTACAGAAATCGCATGTATAGTCTCATCTCTCCGGATATTATAACCTGTGAGTGGGCGGTACATACCTCTAATCAGGTACGTTGTGCCCTTCGCACTGAAGTAACACCAGTATGATTATGTCAACCCAATTATTTCAGTCCTGCATGGTGTTATGGTTTCGTGAGGACTGTTAATACACGTCTCCATTCCAGCTCCACTTCAAACCTGAGATAACATGCTTCTTATTTCTTCTAGTTTACCTTTTATTCCTCTTACGTCACTCGAGGGACCTGATGGTTAGTATTGTTTCCTGTTTATCCTCTGGAGTAGCACAGGTTTACTGGTTTTCAAGCAGTAATTTATCTAAAGTGTGTTAAGCGAATGTAAATGAAAAGGTCGTTTTTCAAGCTGAATCATGCCCGAAGAATCTCTGTTAAGTCATCTCGGTTTCCACAGTTCGCAACCATCAGACGTGGAGACTTGGTGATCGTGGGCTGTAACGGACGAAGCATCCTGCACAGGCTATTTATCATAGTGGTGTGAAGGCCTATGCTACGTTACAGCCAAAGCTACTGATGCGTATTCTATTCGTGAGCATCATCCTGATTACCACCTACTATTACAGGCACACTGTGAACAACCATGGTGGTCGGTTCTCGGTCACTACTCTGAAGAAGTGGCTTGTATTACGTCATGAATCATCAGAAATACAATTTCACCACTCATTGTGACAATAAAAAAATGTTTATTATCAACTTTCTACACATTTCTCAATTTATTTAAAACTATCACGTTCAACCTTGATACCTAAAAACCCAGCAGTTGAGACTTGTCTTTTGATAAGTTTCGCTCATTACAGACGGTATAGCTTGGCTCAAATGATAACCTTTTCTGGAATTGTATAAAATTTGTCGCACTGTTCCTTATCAAAAGCTCTTCTACTTTTTAATACGCTGCTCTCCGACACAGGAACATTAAATAAAATCAGGGTGTTCGTCTGATGTCTTCGTCCTCCATTTTTAGCTTTTTGGCATCTATGCTTTTGCTATTTCCGTTCTCGACATCCATCCTCTGCTCTTTACTGTTGACAGATTTAGAGGTATTATCAGCGGCCTATAATTTCATTGGTATGTGAGCACGAATCGTGGCTCCCACAATCGCATGACTGTCTGAGTCTGTGTTGGACGAATTTGGTTTAGTGGAGGGGATGTCTAAGGTTAATTTCGACAAGGTCCTACTCTTTTCTCTTGTTAGTTTCGTTGATCTATTTTCTCCACACTGTGGCCACACTTACTGTGACCACTGATATAGGTAATTTTACATAAACCCGTAGCATTGTATAGGTGCTGGTGTATCACAGGGACAGTGAACACAGCCCAACAGAAATCACACTCAAATATCAAGTCACTAGTTTTAACAAGCGATGAGAATCTGATATTACTGTCGCTTTTGAGCTGTTTCTCCTCGTTAGTAGTCAGTGACAAAGGTAACTTAGGACGCTCTCTCCTAACCTTACAAAGACTAGGGATATGAGTAAGAATGTGAACCTGATTACTTAATGGGAAATTTAGTTTTAATGTTTGAGTCGAGTAAACCATACTGTACATGTCGCTCAGAGATTATTTTCCTGTTGTGTTTTTGAGCTTTCCTCTTGCCAGAAACAAGAATTTTTCGGCTTATTATTAACCATTGTATTAAGACCCCTATTTTGTTAGTCGTTTTCTTAGTTATAGTGTAACCCCTAGTGGCAGCGCTATTACTGCGCACACTAACGAACCGGCGAAGAAGTGAAATATGAGACAGTTTAAGGGGGAAGAACACGAGACGAAAGTTCGGAAGGGGAAAATTAACAGAAAGGTGAATATATGCTAAATGTGAGTAGAACCTGAACGGCGCTTTGTGTCTCAAAGTTATGTGTGATTGCCTCAGCAATCGACCCCGTTTGGATCCGGTAACTTATCCAAAAATCTTGTATTTACAAGGAAATGGATATGTGAATCCTTCAGCAGAAGCAACTAGGATGAGAGCAGTTGACAGAGACAGCTAACTCTACTGCACATTGACTGGACCTTAGGATGATTATTTTTTTCATATTCGTTACTGTGGTTGTCTGCCAGCATAAATAATGCGTAGTTCGCACCCTCAGAAGTATTCAAATATTCCAATATGGCAGTAAAAAAGCGGACACTTCCGGTAACTGGTGAGAAATCAAGGGGGTCAAAGATTTGGCGTTCGAATCCACATGACACCAAGTACGGATCGGATTACGACAAGTAACTAGTGTAGTAGGATTCTTGATATTCAAGAAGTCAATTCTGTGCAGTATCTCACAAAACATGTAGTTTGAGCATCTTGGGGTGAACACTTCGCATTCCTAAAAGCCACCTCTCCGAATTTGGTACGCCAGTTCATTCTGTCAGTCACCAAGATCACACTTTACAGTTTATTCCTGCAACTCTGGGGTAAACCATAACATTCTGGTTATTCTGATGAATCATTTTGTATGAAATTTTTTTCTCTTACGGTATTAAACATTTAAACACCATGCATGATTTAGCAGTGTTTCTTTGATAGTTTGAAAAATAAGTAAAATAGGCTTTTCTGTAAATGCCAGATACTTCAGTAAGCCACAGGCATCCTCATCGATCAATGTAAAGAAATGAAGTCCAATTCCTTCGGGTTTGACATCTTTCCAAGTTACATTCCAAAATTCAAATCCTTTTATGTAACCCTCGAAAGCTTCAGAATCTGAATGTTCACCTACTAGTTCAACCACAGGCTCCATCTTGATGCTACTATGAAGATTATAAGTAATCCTACTGGTGAGCCAACTAAGAATTCCTTAAATAGAGTAATTTAAGATAGGTAGAACTACATGAGCACAGCTGAACGTCTTATATTTAGAATTCTCAAGAACGCAATCAAGTACGAAGAAATCATCAGTTCGCACAATTATCATAGTGCTACTAAGGTTACACTGTTCTCGCTTTCAGTCATCTCCAGAGAAGATAAATTTTGCCTTCTATTCTTCTTCTTTGCAAGAAAATTCTCAACGGTTCAAAAACTGTTTGGTGGTAATTCAATAGGAACGCTGAATCAAACAGCCACTTCGAGAGACTGGAAATATCGAAAAGATTACAACAGGATTAAAGTCGCTTTTCCTTACTTACGTTGTGACCTGTAACAAATTAAAAAGACCATGACCGTAAGCCAGTTGGAAAAACAACACATGTAAACCCAAGCGAAACATACTGTAAGTTTATTTTTATAAGTTTTGTACATAAAAATCCATCCACATAAACGCTGTTGTGATTTATTCCCCTTGATTCCTTCATAAGTATATTTCACTGATCGTTTGATTCCATTTAAGATGGAAATATTTGTATTTTATTGCACATTTTGTTTCCCTTACGTCTTTAATGAATCTTCATGTTTTTCGATATTTAGTTATGGCGGTTGCCATATTGATTTGATCCCTTCTTTAATTGCATCGCTTTCATTGGCTGAAATTGTGCATTTTGGATTGTGATTTGTATCACTATTTCAGGATTAGAAACAGTCAGTTTTATGGCAGAATTAAATATTCCCTTCGATCAATTTGTACGTGATCAATCCAGAAACGATAGAATGACGTTTATTTGTTGCACTTAGTAATTCTTTCATATCCTTCATCAATTTTTTCACTTAACGTAGTTTGAATTTGACTACCGATTGAACATTTATTGATTGAATAACTGAGCGGTAATATGTGTTTAAGTAATAATGTACACTTATCTTTATAATGAAATTTAAAACCGTCATTTAACCAGCTACCTTGCTTTAGTTTCAACTGGACGATGTGGCATATCGAAACTAGCTTCAATAT